CAAATGTGCTTTACACAATTGATGTATGTATGGATTGTGATAAGAGTTGTATGAGCCCCTAATAAAATGATTAGGGAAAAAAAAAAAGAGTTAGTCTCTGAAACCCACAGGGGCAGTTCTACCCTGCGCTAGAGAAGTCAACACGAGTCAGAACTGATTCGATGACAGTAGGTTTGGTTTTGGTGACATCTTTAGACTTCAATAATCATAGGAGTTTGTTCAGAAGACACTCTCAAAACTAATTGCTATGAGTTGCATGTATCACCTCTAAAATAGTTTTAGGTAATCTAGGTGATGCAAATGGTTAAGCATGGAATTTGTAACAAAAGGCTGGCAATTCACCTAGAGGCACCTCAGAATTAACACATGAGGATCTGCTCCGGAAAGGTCAGTTTTGAAGTCCTACAGAGTAACTCTACTCTGCATATGTGGTGGCCATGAGTCAGAAGTGATTCAGTGGCAACCCAAAACAACAACGTAGATGGGAGAAACACGAGGCTTCCTACTCCCATAAAGATTTACAGTCTCGGAAACCCACAGGGGCAGTTCTACCCACCCTGTCTTAAAGGGCTGCTATGATTCGCCACAGAATTGACCGGAGGGTAGGCAGTGAGTTTTGTGTGATACCAGGGAGTCTGGTGTTGCAGTGGATTAAGCAATGGGGGTTGTTAAAGGCAACACTGGCAGTTCAAACCCACCAGCTGCTTCTGGGAAAATGAAGTAGCGGTCTGCTTCTGTAACAATGGCAGCCTTGGAAACCCTAGGGTCCTATGAGTTGGAGGTGACCTGACAGCAACAAGCTTCCAAGCAGCCAGCCAGGGGAGTCCACCAGGTGAAGTGGAACACGAGCCAAGGATCTGCACTTCTGGCAATGCTACTAGAAACCAAAGAGACCAAGAAAGCCCTTCCCTTGGAGGAAGATGCCAGCTTCAAGAATCGTGAGAAAATAACTTTCCCTCCTGAAACCACCTACTTGTACATTTTGTTGTGGCAACACTAGGGAAGTTAAAATTTATTTTTTGTTGTTTACATTTCTATCTTCTCTTATTCAGTAATCTAAACTATAACGGTACAAGGAAAGACAAATTGGGGCATACAAAAAACACAAACCAACATTTAAGC